TATCACTGGTGCCCCATGGTATATTAGGAATGAAAGTATACACCGAGATCTACAAATTCCCCTAGTTAAAGCTGAATTTGACAATATAAGAAAAAAATACAATAAAAGGCTGACAGAGCATGTTAATCCCTTAGCAAGAAATCTCGCACTTCTATCCATTACTTCCCGTCTAAAAAGAGCTGACCGTCCATCCGTTAATTAATATTCAACAGCTTGAAGTAAAAACCGCACCTTTCTTTTTAGTAAGCTGTTAAAGTTGAACCACTTTCTTAAGAAACCACCTAACATTCACTCTAATGAAATTTAACCCATTAATCTAAGTGAGGTTCGTGATATAAGGTTTACTTATTTTATTTTATTTTATTTTATACAATGTATAATTAAAATAAAAATTTGTAACATTATGTAATTAGTTATAAGATTTTAAAACTTATTGTTAGTCTCATTTTAAGAGAAAATGCAATAAATAAATGTATGTTTTAAAAAAAAAAAAAAATATTTCATTATACTGATATTTTCACGACGTGCAAATAATTCTCTGAGATCCACATTAGACTGTTATTTCGATTGTACAGACACCTCAATTTATTTATAGTATTTTTTTAAAATAAATTGTTAAATTACCAGTAGAACAACAATTTTACAATCCTAAACCACATTTTTCTTTTTTAGTATAAAGAATGTATTAGAAAGAGCAAAAAAGATATTTAAGATATTAATTGACGGGAAAGAGAGGTTTATATCTACAGATGGATTGAAACGAGCATGCATACTCAAGTGATAGTGCCTTGGAAGCTATACAACTCCGTTCCAGCAAGACTTCGTTTCGCACTTTAGCTTCTCTCGAGGCGGAGTATTGTGATGGCTACGCGTTTGACCTACGACATAATCAACTTGAGCATATCGTTCGAACATGTGAATACTTAAAACACGTAAATAAAGTAACAGTTCCTTCTGGAGTGAAAAAAAAGCTACAAAGCTAATAAAAATATTAACAATTCACTAACGCCTTGCAGAATTTCTTAATCGCAACGCCTGAATAGTTCGACAAATGGCAAGTTTACATAAATACAAGCAATACAGTACATGTTATATAAACGAATGCAAAATATAACCTAAAACAATGATGTCTTCACACAAGTAATGTATTTTAAATTAAATACGACTTTACAACTTGATTGTTGAAATAATAATCTTTTTAATTTTCATTATACAAAAAATGCATTAGTTTAGAAAACATGCTACTTTACCGTTTCTATAAATTTAGAGTAAACAAATAGCAACAATTTAAAGGCGATGAGTTGATCATGCCATTAAACCGTTTCTCCAAATTTATAGAAACAGTTTACAATTACTAAAGAAAGGCAGGGGCGGATTAATTCGATTATGTTACTCCTCCCACCTTTAAAACGTTCACGTCCTCGTGAATATAATATAAATATAAAATTTTTCCATTAGTTTATATATAAGTAATGTATTTACATTAAACTATACTTAAACTTTACTTTATCACACAATGCATCCCAGTGGTAAAGGAAATGGTGGCTCTGCGGTCCTCATAAGGAACTCGATAAAACATTATGAAGCAAAACCATATTGCAAGAATGAAATCCAGGCAACAAACATTGTAGTACAAACTAAAGAAGGCGACATGACTTTCTC